AAATTTATTGATGGTAATATCTGTAAATGGAATAATGAATAATTAATAAGCTTGTTGAAACAAAAAAAAAAAACGTAGTAAAAAAGCAAAAAAAAAAGATAGTGATAAGATCAAATGATTGATAAAGATTAGTAATTTGTTAATTTGCTGAGGAGTGAAAAGTATATACGTATGCGGCGCCGATGAAACCTGGCGGTACCCATGTCGTAAATGATTCATCACTGATCCATTGAGAATATTCGGGAATCTCGTGCAGATATATTCCATTACTGCCTCCGTAATTGATAATATTCATCATCGTTCGCCTCAAATTTCAATTTTATGAGAAAATTTTCGATTTTCGCTCATCCAATAAACTATACGAGAAGAATGAAAATTGAAAATAATAATGTTAGAAACGATATTTGATCAATTTTTGTCAACTCTATTTTTCTAACTGCAGAAAAATTTGACAAATTTTCTGTTGTAATCAAATAAATTTTTCAGATAAAAGATAAATCTTTACATTGGCAAAGGTTGAAGAATTGTAAAGCATACCCAGATTGCATGATAAATTTGCTTTTATCACCTATCTTCTTCATACTGACTTCCTCCACGTCTTCATCCCATTTCACTGATAATGACGTCCATTCCGTTGTCAAATCACTTTTGATATCAATCGTTTCTTCTGGACATAAATGTGATGGTGCTGTGAATAGTAAATTATGAGCAAACGCTTGACGTGCTGGATGATACGTGGGATTCGTTAATCTGGCACATCCTGAACATTATTTTTCATCATTATCCATCATAATTCCTCTCATTAATATCATATATTGCAAATAAATTTTAAAATAAATTTGAAATATATCAGTGTTTGATTTTTTTTTTTAACATATTTCAAAATATTTTCAAGACAAGTTCAGCGTACATATTATTAACAGATGGAATTTTCAGCATTCAACTAAACACATCAAACAAGTATTTCAATTCAAATTGTAGCAAAATTTTAGCATAGATTTCAATGAAGATTGATGAAAACAAACGATCAACAATCATCGGCGTCGGCATGAAGCATGCAAAATCATTCTTCTTTGTTCCCGCTATTGCAATATCCCGAATCGAAGCAATCACAATCATTCGAGCTATTTTAATAATCGAATTATTTTGCACGCTTTTTCTAACATCGGTATTATTCAATTCATCATGAATCCATATCGATATCGTCTGTTCCACACGTTCTCTGTACTGCCATAATGAACCGGCCTAGAGAAATAACATTGTTTACATCTATAGAATTTTCCAGTTAAACTTTTAAAAAGTAGCATAAAAGTAGCATTGATAATCAATTTATCTTGCATGCTTCTTCTAACACTGAAACTACTCAATTCGTCATAAATCATTATTGATAGTGATAGCAGCAATGAAATTTTTAAAAATAAAATATTAAAA